TTTATATATAAGCGCTAGGAGTTTTATTATTATAAAAATAGTAGTAGATATATTAGAGTACTTAAAAAAGCTTTTTAATAAACTTTTAATACTATTTAAAACGATTATTCTCGAGTAATAAAAAGAAGCTAAGGTACTATATTAACACGGCCCTATCTATCTTATTAATATTAATAATAGTCTTTTTAATATAAAATATATTATTAATATTTTATAGTTATGTTATTACGCTTTATAAATCGTACTTAATATTAATAAAAATTCTAGTATTATTTCTTAGTTCGTCTCTTAGTTTTTTTATTAAAGCTATTATCGTAAGGTTAGTTTAGTTATTAATATCTTAGTAAGTATTTTAACTTAACTCAGAGGCTCTTATAGCCCTTAAAAAGAGGCTTTTAAAGGACTTATAATTAGACTTTTTATTTATTATAAGCGAAACTATTATAGTTAAAACTATAGTATTACGAACCTCGATAGTAAGTAGTTAATAATATAGTTATTTTTCTTTTATAGCGAGCTTAAAAAAGTATCTTAATTTAAGTACTAAGTAAGTATTATACTATTTTATTAAAACTATATTCTTATATTTATAACTTAGAAAGAATTAACTTTCTTTGATAATAAGGTACTTAGACTTGCTTGCAAATGGTTCAGATCTGCAAGAGAATGCGATGGATACGAGTTTTTCCGCGTCGTGGTCAGTGGTTTGATTTTCTGCCCTCTCTGGAGTCTCTGATGGTCAGTTTACCACCTACCTATCTGTGCCATTTACCCGAGACAGCGAAGAACGGCAGCATACTTGACGTCAGGTGGCGTATGAACCGCTGTCTAGTGTCTAGTGTATCAATTGGCACAAGAACGGTCCTTGACCGATAGCAACGTCGGCCACCGTGCCGATAATCACTAATCCGCAGGCAGGTTCCTCAACTTTACCAAGATTTAGCCAATTGGCCGACTACAGAAACTGGATCGTGGTCGTAGGCGTGGTAGGCACGTGAAATTCAATGTAACGTTAATAAAACGCTAACAGATGAAGACCACCCTTCATCCCAGCTGGTTTCTGGTTTCTCTGCTCAGGTTACCCCGTCGGCGTTTTGTGATTTTCCAGCAATGCCGTTTTATTCTTTTCGGTGGAATAGTCGCCTATGAGTACTTGTGAAGGTGTCAACTGATGGCTGGAGAAATCCGGAAATATGGGAAAATCCCAAACGTGGCTAAGCGGCCAAGCCAAAAAGCAACCGATATGATGCCATGCCCGGGCCCGTGAGCGGGCTCGAATTCCAGGCCGGGCCCGACTTGCGCTTCGCCAGCTCGCGTAAAGAATAATCCCACGACTCCGGAAGCGAGTAATTCATAATAACAGCCGCACTTATGACATCCATAGAGAGTGGGAATACCGCATGCACGGCACGCTCCTATATGAACCCGTGTGACCCTCTTCCCGTCGCAGAATCGCAGCCACGCCCAGGATATGCAAGGCACGCCAAACTTCAGAGGCTATTGAACTCTGTCCCCTTCTCCGTGGATCATCCAATCATTACTTTTGACACCCATCTGTCAACTCAATTCGGAAGAACAGAGTGGATGGCTTTCTCAGGAGGTGGGGGGGCCAACCAGGCCAGGCCGAGCTCAGCTTGACTTTTCCTTTCTGTCTCAGTGTTTTTCTGCCCACTTTCTGGAGGGGCGCAGCAGGCAATCCCTGAGACTTTTTTCACAATGGAGTTTTGCGGATGGAGATTCTGGCATTGTGCACAGCCGCCATTGCGACTACGTAGTAGCTCGGCTTTTTCTCCCGCGGCTTTCTCAAATTCTGCTGCTCTTCTCCATCGGCATCCCTGGTGGGCAGTGGTGGCCTAGGCTGGCACAACTGGCTGGACCTTGCTGGAGTCCTGCGGCTGTGGACAAGTTGGACATGGCAAACCTGCAAGGCTGGGCCAATTCCATTTTCGATGAAATGGATGATGGAGCAGAACAGAAGCTGTCCTTGTCTTGGCTTTCATGCGGCAGCGTGTAACAAGCGACCAGTCTGTGAGTGGGTGGGTGGGATGTGCACGCGAATGGGCAGCCCTACCAGGCGAAACCTACCGTGTCCAGACGAAATGGCAGAGAGATCTTTCGACAGTTACACCCGCCAGAACAGGGAAAGCAAGAAGGCAAGATGTTTGAAAAAAAAAATGCGTTGTTGAATCGGCACAAACCAAATTCCCATCCATGGAGCCCCTCAGCAACAAAATAAGTGCCTCGTGGCGGAATCGAACCGCCGATCTTCTCATGTCACTAGGTACTAGTGAGACGCTATACCACTTAGCCAACAAGGCGATATTTGGGTGGTCCAAATTGTAGCTGTTGTAGTGTCGCGCCAGCTCGCGGACTCCGCTCGAGCTGCAGCGCATCGCGACCTCAACGACTAGCCAAGAAGCAGGCGCAGCCGAGCGCGTTGCTCAAAGGCCCTTCGTACCGAGAGCTATGTCTTATAGTATCAGCTTGTGTCGCCTATTTCCCGTCATCTTGGTTTCCTTCTCGTCGTTAGTCTTCGACTCGTCTCTGAGGCCCGCAAACTGCAGCCTCGATATTGACATGTTGAGAAGGAACATGGCGAATAAGATCCCATACCCAGTAGTAATTGCTCGCGGCATAAATTTTCTCCTTTCCTATTATGTCTCATCATCGTCGGATGATGGCCCTTGCTTCATGTTCGTCGAGTCGAGACCGAGTCCTCTTCTTTCAGCGGGGTGAGGCGACTATCAAGCCTTATTAGCAAAGGTCCGGATACCCCTAAATCAGGTATTGCTTTTTATCTGAGTCTCATCTTTTTCCAATTTCCTGAATTGGATGGCAATGAGACTGGCTCTTCTAGAATTTTCCGTGGGTGTTTTAATTGGGGTTTCTTTTCTTTTCAGGGGTGAGTCATTTCCCTCCTAGACGTTGGTCACAGTGGATTGGTATTTGAAGGCAGCATTCAGGATTACCAAATCCCTGGCGAATCTATGCAGATAAAACTTGGGAAGGAGTCCGTTTCATGAATCACTTGACGCGTAAGAAAGCGGCTGCGTCGGTGTTTACATGTCGGTTCGCGTACGTCACGTGGTGGCTACCCGTGGTGGCGGTAGGAGAGAGGTATGGCAGGCGCGGCCGGGACGTTGATGAGAAACCGCAACGGTATACCTCTTCGGCTAACACCACTTGACAGAGGGATATAGGTCTACTCATGGCCAATCCTGTCACCAACGGCAGCAGGCGCCTCACAGGCCTGTGAGGTCAGGTCAAACTGCCGTTTGGCGGGATGGTTACGGGCGAGCCTGATCGACTGGCTTAGCCTACGCTAGGTTCGAGGTTCGAGTCCCAGCATGAGCACCAGAGATGTAGCCCCCAGTTCAGCACCGGGGGGGTGAACTCTTTTTGGTTCTTGTGAGTAATTGGGCCTAAACTTCGTGATTGCAGGCTTGATATCTTGACGTTTCGTCGGCTTGAGAGTCAAGGCAGTAATTCGTTGAAGTGCAAGAAGTCATCCATGATCTTTTAGTACGATTGATGGGTTTACTGACCAGAAGACAAGATTCAAGTCGATATGGTGCGGCCAAAGGGCGCAATAATGAGGGCAGATTGGTGGCTGTCTCAGACAGGCAGTGACCACCGCGAACGCATTGATATGCTAGTCTTCCCGAATTGAAACGGGGGCTTTTGAGGGACTACTAGATCAACCCTATAAATAGGTAGGAATAGACATGTTTCTTTTGCTATGAAATCCATCATTGCTGGTCATTTACCAAAATAGGGATCAGGATGGCCATGTCATGAGTGGATAGTTGATGGAGTTGTGGATGGATAGGTCGTGGGCAAACGGAAAACTCGAGTCTTTCTTACCCTAAGTATATTTGCAGAAGTTTCATGAACGTGAGTAGCGTGTTCTGCAATATTCATACTGAAAAAGGCAGTGCAAGCGTCGCCATCCAGAGGCATATTCCCAGCATCAACACGCACTTTCTTAGCCGTTGGCAGGTATCATGCGGTTGAAACAAAAGTGTTGGCATTTATCACAAGGTAGATGGATGTGACTCTTGTGAGTCTTAAACCGGATCTTTGGTCTTAGCAGCGTTGATCTTGTGGACCTGTTTCACAGAAGGGACAAAAGCATGGAGCATTTCCTTTATCAGTAGCGCTGCCTGATTAGGCCTTTGTTGAAAACGCGATGTTGTGAATTCTGTTGGTCTGTGAATATCCCAAGGCCTTCATTTAACCTTGCTATCCCCATGCATCCAAGCGTTGTTCAGATCTTGAAAAGGTTCAAGACAACAGATTGCACGGTGGCATGATGGCGGCCTATTCAAGGCTCCTCTGAACCTGCCCACAATCCAAGTGAAGTATGTGCAAGTCCTGTCACCCCGTGATAGCTCCTTCCTTCAAATCTGGCCCTCGGCGGTCTCAGCATTCTCAGCATTCTCGAGCTTCGGCTTGATATCCTCGGCAGTGGTATCCTCCAGCTCCTCCTTGACCTTGGCAGTACGTGCCTTCTTCTTGGAAGGCGGGCCCTGCTTCTCAGCATTATTGCCGTCCTCCTCATCGGAAGGCGTCTTCTTCTTCGGGGTGCGCTTGACACGAGCCTTCTTGACCGGAGTACCGTCCTCGTTGGTGGCAACAGCGCCGCCGCCAGTGAACCAAGTCGGGTGCTTGTTGACGGCCGCGGTGACGCGCATGCGGGCGGCATTGGTGCTGGCGGAGCCAAGCTTGGCGGCAAGAGCGTCGTAGTCAAGAGCAGGACGAGCCATGAGCTCCATGATGGCGATCATGAGCTTGATCTCGGACTCAGTGCAGTCGAGGCCAGCGGCGGCAGCACCGGCGTCAGAGTTCTTCTTAGGAGGCATGGTTGTTTGTCTGAGGCTGATGTTAGCTAGGTAAAGTAAAGAGCATGTGAGCGGTAGGTATAACAAAGAACTAACAGTGGTAAGAGATGTACGAGCTGGACTGATGAATGAGGTGGATAGAGTTGGCGAAGCAGTTGCATGAAAGGCAAGGTGAGTGTGATGCGCCGAGTTGAAAAAATTGGCAAGGCTGGGTGAGAAGGAGAAGCCTTTTTGTAGGTGAGAGAAGAGAAGCAAGATGGAAGAAGGAAGAAGGGAAGGGGCACTGACCCTGGGAAGAGCAACAGATGGAAGGAACAGCTTCTGCCTCTCAAGGCAGGTACATCTCCAACTTTAGTACAAATGGAAGGAACTTTCCAAATGGGCTTTATCTTGAGATCGAGGAGGCAGGCGCACTCTCGGCGGCATTTCCTCGAACTACCTTACTTCAACACAAGCTTGCTTACTGGGTTCCTGCATAATGGCTTGCGCTCCGCGAGTTTCTTCGCACTTAACTTGGGTAGGTTCACCTGGCTTCTTCTGCCTTCTCGTGGCCCTGGCTTATCCTGCAGGAGCCACCAGCTCGAACACGGAGCTACCCTCGTCGACTCCCGACCATTCAGCAATCTCATCCCTCCACATCCTGCCAGTAGTATAGTCTCAGCAGTATCATCACTCGCCCCTTCTCCTCCGGCAATTCTATTGCCAACCGTGATAGGAACGCTTGTGAAGCCGACAGGTAGCTTACTTTGATCAATGACTGGAAAGTCGCTAACCCCAGATATCTCCAGCCTCTCCCATTTCTCATCACACCGTCGGTATTCAAGCAGCTTCTCCGTCAATGCTGGCACGTCAATGTTCTCAGCGGTGACTCCGCCATCGACAAAGACGACGAGGTCCTATTTGCCCTCATGGACGACGAAACGATCGCGCAGCGCTTCGGCACGACCAGGCCCGTTGACGAAAAAGCTGAACTCAACAAGGATGGCTAGCCAAACGTCATCAGGTCGTAGCTGGAGGTGTAGGTGTTGCTCCCAGGCTAGGACAGTGCTAATGAAGCCGTTTCTAGAGGCTACGATGGTGTCTTTTTCTACGTCGGAGACGGATGTTTGAACCGAACCCCGCCCATTTACATCGTTTTGGAAAGGAAAATGTTGGTAAAAGTCTCGAGATGGCGATGGTTTTCGGTGCGATTGCCTACGACTACATCGTGGGGTTAGGTTGTATTATGGTTGGCATCGGGGTCGGGGAATATTTCTTCTGAGCGTTGAATCAGAAGTAAGCGGGCACACCCATGGGACTTGGAGTTTGTGGGATTTTCAACGACCTCGTACTCTATTTATATTTGCGTAAGGTAACAACACTCCGCTGCTGGTTCGTCGATGCCAAGAGCCTGTTGGCGGAGCTGATTTGCCAGAGACTCCCCACTGCTTTCCTCGTCTGGCTGAGCAACATGAGCTATGCAGCATAAGACCGTAATTTTCCATCTTGTGTAGATGCTTTGTGTACCGCCTTATGTATCACGGTGTTTCAAATTATCGAATATGAAGACAGCATAGGTCTTGATTTCCGGGTATTATGTGTCCCAAATCGCCCGCGTTTGAAATTTGCATTGAGTGCCCATTTAGCCTCACATTGATTCTCTGCTTATACTCGGAATAAACGTTAGTAAGTCAAGTCAGGTATTTGCTTCACGGCTTAAATTTCGCGATAAACAGCAAGTGCCGTGGGCAGACAAAATGCTGTTGTCCAAGAAATGCAAGATTAGGTTTCAAGCACTAGATGTGATATATGACTGTCAAACGGTGTGGAGTGGCAACCGGGTTCCGTCCCACTTTCAGGGCAGGTTTCGTGAGACTTGGCCCTGGAACAGTTAGCGTTAAAACGACCATGGAGAATTTCTCAAAGTATGGGGAGAAGCGACAGCGAACTCAGAGTTTGTAGCTTATCATGTGGTTGAGATCACTTTGTTTTAGCGTTGGTGAAGCCGGGTGTTCAGAGTTTGGCACGGCCATGGAAAACGTGGGAGCTGTGAGAAATTAGGCTAGAGGCCAAAGCACCATCGTCACCCCTGAACAGGAGGGCCTCTTGATTAAACCTAGAATCAACGTCACAGCATCGAAAAGTGACACATCTCTATCTCAGAGCGAGTTGACTGGCCGTGAGAAGTTCAGGGGTTACATGGGGGCCTTTTTCGTTGTGATGTGTAGGGAATGTCAGCTTGTGGTAAGCTCATGAGCGAGTGCTTTCCTTACTCCAGTCAAAGCCCAACAGTTGCCCCACATTAGCATAACCATTATACAAAGAATACCTCAGGCACATCCAACAACGTTGAAGAGTGGATGGCATGTGGCGGTGTTCCTTGGAAGCAAACGACTGGAACGTCATATCATAGTTGTCAGGCCTCGCCGGTCAGACCTCGTCGGTGAAGGGATAGCTCAGGGGCATAAGGAGGGGGACTAAGCAACAAAGGAGCAGCTCAGGCATATATAGAGCGCTAGTAGTACACCTCGAGGGAAGGGCAGATTTCAGTAATTCATCTTTTAGACCCTAACAGCAGTTGGCCTCTGTGAGCTTCTTCCTTGTGTCACACACCTATTGACAATAGTTGACGAATCAGTATCGGAACAATCTACATTCACCAATAAGACAGGGACACTGTGGACAACTTGGGTGCTTGAAGAATTTTACTTCATTCTATCAAAGAATCGAGTTGAATTCTAGTGAAGATATGAGCTAACTGACAAGAACTCCAAGTTGCTTCAGGTAGATGTCACAACACCCGTCGCGTATGATATCCCAAATGCAAGGCCCAACAGCCTCGAAAACTATGTGACACACCTCCGCAATCCCACCTTACGCCACCATCCTTTGCTCTCTCGATAGATCAGAAGTTGCAGGTGGATGTGCTCTGCTGGCGACAGCATTGGCTGAAGCCGAAAAGTCCTACTTCAAGAGCGCACTCGTGTTGCTAGTCCCACAGGGTTAGCTTCAGTCTTGACTGCAAAAAGTATACGATCCGCTACTTACACCCTGCATGTTACCCTCAGAAGCCTGGCAACATCTCTCAGTCTGATCGTCCATGGGAACAACCTGGTCCTGATCGTTGCTGACGCAGCAGTAGATCGTCTGGGCTGCGGCGCTGTGAATAGGTGTTTGTGGTTAGTCATATTGAAACCAAATGAGATGAGGTGAAGCATAGACGAACCTGGCAGCGAAGCAAGCGGCGATGAGAGTGGCGACACGCATTTTGATAGTGTATGATTGGAAAGAGGTTTAAGTGAGTGTGAGTCTAATGAATGTGGTGACGAAGAGAGAGTGCTGGTAGATTGGTAATGACTATTGCTGAGTGACAGCAACGGGCGAAGTTGAGAGCATATTAATATCTGAGAAGATACACATGTATGTTTGTTCGTGCTGTAGGAAGCTTTTCTTACGGCTTGCTTACACGCAGCTTTGCTCAGCCATGTAAACGGGTTTTACGAGCTTGGCAGATTCAAGTCGGGAAGACCGGGCTAAACGCATCGTACCACAACGACCGACTCGTGAGCTATAGTCTAGTACACATACGGCAGGACTTAATTAAACATTCAATACAGTGTTGGGGTAGACCAAGTGATCTACACTATACAATTACACAGATCATAAATAGTATCAACCGAAAGCGAAACCCAGCCTGCCAATGACGACGTGTGTGGGGCGTAGGGACTTTTAGGGTTCCAACTCTTCGGGGTATTAAGATGAACCGCCATATAGGCTCTTGAAACCCGGTCCCTGGCAATTAAATGTGGAACTCGCCTTGTTGCTTCAGAATTAAGGTTGGCCGAGAGTCCGACATCGTTACCGACAAGAAATCTGACACATGAGCCAGGAATAGACTTTGGGCAAATGCTAGCACGTGGACGAGTTTTACGCGCTTTCAGGAGTTTGCGCTTGTTTACAGTATATGAGAATCGCCGACCAAGAACTGCAGGAGTTGCCCGGGCGAAAAGCTTGCGGACTTGCGGATGAGGAGTTGGACCCGACTGCCAACTAAACATCTGATCGACAACCCAGAAGCCGCGGTCTTACCACGGCCCTGCCGTTGCTCTATTAAATGAAGTAGATGCGCAATGCCTCGAGCTAGACCTTTTTGGACATGGAAGGTATATCGACATCATACGAGACAAACCTAGCTGCAGTGATGCGCAAAGATCGACTGACGTGCATCGCTTTGTAAGGCTGAACTCGCGCGGGTTACACCGTCAGCGCCTCAAGTGTTCTAGAAGACATATGCATGACACCACTAAGGCACTTCTCTGACCTAACAAAAAATTTAACGACTTCGCTCTCGGTCTATTTCCGTGCCTTTTTTCTACAACAGGAAACTACCGACTGAGCAACATTTTAACTTTGCCAATTCGCAAAGCTCACAAGTCACAACCAAGCACGCCCCGGCAGAGTTTAGTTGCTAGTTCCTTGGCCTCTTCCTCGGTAGCGAGGAACTGACCCTCTCCCTTATCCCAAGTGAGTTCGGTTATCGTGGCATGGCGTTCACCGGTAGGTTCCGTTGTGTCGCCCGCCCCCGTCGCCGCCAAGACGACATTCATGCGAAACTGTTCGTCCCCGGTCCAGCTCCTGTGCAAATGCACCACGAAGTCGCCGCGAGCGTCCGGCTCATCTGCGCGGCACATCCAGCGATCTTCCATTTGCGATGGCTTGAAGCCTTTGAGGAGCTTCTCGGCGTCGTTGCGAGAGACGCTGAGGTTCCAGGTGGTGGTGGCGGGGTTCCTCATGGTTGGTGATGTTCTGATGGATGTTCTAATGGATGATCGGGTGAGTCTGACCCTTGTGGTTGATAGCGGGCCTTGTGGCAAGTCTGAATAAGGGATAACGTGGGGCGTAAGGTGACGGCTAGAAAGTGGGATGTGGGAGATTTGAGATGGTAACAAGAATAAGGGTATTGCTCGATTTTGACTACTTGGGACGATGGAAGAGAGTTGAAGTGGGTTTTGGGAATCTCGGATTAGACCCATCTACGTACGAGTCTTGATATACTTTTCGCCTACGCTAAAGCAGTCAGTCCTGGGTGTTGGGAACTCTGGCGGCATAATCTTCCTATTGTGGACTACAAGGCAGTCGGAAGATTTGCGGTAGGCCAGGATACGTGTGCGGCTTCTGCGGGATTGGAATCGGGGGCTGAAATATGGAAACCCGCTAGGGCCATCATATCAGGGGTGGTCTGGAGTATATCATATAGCACACATGATCTGGTCCAGGTCCAGGCTTATCAGCTCAGACCACAATCTAATCCACGCAGTATTGGACATTGTGCTGAGAGCTACTTGTTTCGTCATCCATGCCGTAAGGCTTTCCTATCAGCTGTGACTGACGTGTATCGTCCAATAGCCGTCGACCCCATCCTGGTCATGCTTGAAATCGTCTGATGTGAGAGAATGGGATTGCCATTTTCGTTAAGCCCGTCGAGGCTGTCTATCGGTGCCAAGAAACACTGCGACCGCCAAGGGCTGTCCGTATAGCTAAATACGAGACATGTCTCCGCATAGCTATGATAAAGTTTTGGGGGGTTAGGGAGGATGCTAACGGTGTTGAGGCCCTGTCAATATTGAAAGAAACGATTCATAGCTGAGTCGAGGTGTAATAAATTGTGTATGTTTAATTTACTTTCATAGGACTTTCCAACATTGGTCTAGTTGGCAATCTTTTGCGGCTTTGGCTATAGTTTGTGTCTGGTGACAACTCGTCTCGTCTTGACAGAGCCAAGCTGGAGTGCTCCGTAGAGGCTTAGACAGGAAAACTTGTATAGATTTCTGGTGCCGGCAGTTAGTCTCGGTCTCGGGATGCCCGTCATGTCCTTTCTCGACTTGATGGTGCTCGGCGACTAGAAGCCCGAACCGAGATCTCAGGTACGATGCTATCTTGAGACAGAAACACTGAGAATCATATGCGACATGGTAAGTATAAAGAAAGGATGACTTCTCACCAACTTACTTACACCTTGTATCACCATAATCATCACTCTCTTTATCAGCCCAACTACCGACCTCATCTCAATCTCTCATTGACTCCGGCTGCTTTTCAAGCCTTGTCTTACACTCTTTTCTCCTTCGTCAACAATTTTTCTTGCCATTTACACGGTTTGTCGTCAAGATGATATCCCTAAACAACTTTTTCGTTGTGCTTGTGCTCCAACTATGGACTGCAGTCTGCAATGCCCAGTTCAGCGTTTGGCGCGCCGATACCAGAACCCCTACCGAGATGCGCGCCGCCGGTCTCTTCGCCCCTAGAGGAGCCAGCCAGATCCTCCAAATCGTCCCCAACGTCAGTATGTACAACCACGCAGTCGGCGCCGACAATGGCGCCAGCCGCGATAATGACGGCTACGTCTCCACCACCGCCAGCGAGGACACCGCCGTCGGCTTCCTCACCAACATGTTCAACGGCAACGGCTACGTCTACGAGATCGCGGCCGCAGCCAACTTCATCCAGGTCTCCGGCACTCTGGGCGAGTTCAGCCCGTACCCCAACGAGCAGGAGTACGCGGCGCTCGGAGGCTTCAGCTGGGACCAGGTCATCCGCTGGAGACACTACACCAACGGCGTTGCGGACGGCGGACTGCAGGATAACAACGAGTATTAGGGCCGCATCTACAACGGCCTGAGACCCACCAACTCCATGCCCAGCCTTGCTGGCTTCCCGGCCGGTCACCGTGCCTGGACCTTGTCTCCTTGGAACGCGTTTGCTCAGGGTGGTGCAGGATGCGGCGGTGGTAACGCTGCCCGCACTCTATTCGTTCGCCAGGGCACTTGCAACCCCAAGGAGAGTGCCGAGACTGTTGCCAAGAGGTTCATTGATGAGAACTGCTGGGCCAAGGACCTTTGCGGTTAAATCCCGATGACCGGCTGTTCTGTGAGCTTTCGATTTTGGAAGGGCACTCTTATTTCTGCACTAGCCATGCCTGGCGAGGCAGAAGGGATTAGTCGAGGTTATTGATGTCCTGATTAACTCAGGACTTAGGGGATAAGAATGGAAGGGATAGGAATGGATTGAGGGAGGCCAGACAGTCTTTACCATTGCTGATATCTTGAGAGTCTCATTTGTCTTCATATGTCTGTCTTAAGATATTCAAAGATAGCTCGGACAACAAATGACATGTATCGTCAAGAAACCGCGTTTGCCCCCTTTGAGTATTTGTGATTCACGCTCATAATCGTTACCTCTTTCAAAACAGCCTAATGAATCATGATTTGCTCCTCAGTTACGGAGCTCCGAATTCTATGTAGGATCTCACCACAGGTAAGCCATTGGTGTGGAACTCCGGGGCTTGATTATACAAAATTGCGAGTGGCTATTGCCACGAGGCATACATTTTTGTGGCTGACCTTGAACACTAGAGGAGGCGTCTCAGATTCCACTTTCAGGGTTTGCATTATTCCGCAACTTATCGCCTGGTATCTAGGTAGTCCGCGACTGAAGAATAAGCATTTCCAGTCTTTCTTCAATCCGCCGTAACGAACCCCTAGCGGCCAAAAGTTCAAATCGATAGAAAAGGCCTTTCAAGATGATGATTCGCAAGGCTCGGGCGCCACCCGAAAGTACTTGCAAAGGCTCTACGAACTATCAGGTCTTCTGAAAAGCACACGAAACACCTCGACTTCGGAAGCTCATAGTGATTTCAACACCGAGAGATAGTAAAGGTACAAGAGAGGTACGCAAATACTATCAATTGCTATTAAAGAATATATGTTATCACAGACTTAGCACCAGGGAAATAATCACTATATCAGGCAAAAGGAGAGGCTAGTAAACATCAGGAAGGCTTCTAAGCCGGAGCAACCTAAGAAGCCCATATAAAAGTAGAAGCGCTTCGTTATCTGGGGCTTGCCTGGGTCGGGGAAGTCAGAGATAACTCTCATGTTTACTATCAAGCATCAAGGACAGTTTCGGGCCGAGTTTTGGATATTTGCCAGGAGCGACACCAACACAAAGATATAACATCTATGTGGTGTGAAATGATACTCCTAAGATTCGAGGATCATGATGCAGGGGAACTTGAGAGGGCGACGATCATCTCGTAAACGCGCAACTTTTCCGCTATTGCGAGCACCAGAGGCTTGCCGCTAGTGCTAGACAGTGCGTGAGCTCGCGTAGGCTTCCACCATCCGGTCCTGCGATACAACGGCAAATTGGTGGCGCTTTAGCCTTTTGATACAGCTGCCAAATCAAAAGCTCCAAGCTTGCCGCCGCAGCGCCACAGGGCGTTCAAACTTCATTTGAAAACGGCAATCCGGTCCCTGATTATGTGCTTATCAGGAGTTCCATCACATCCCCTTGATGACGCTAAAATCAGGGATGTCAGGTCACTTTTGGCTTGTCTCAAATGGCGATCAGCCGTTGAACCACCAGCACGGCACTTTGAGATTATAAGAGCAAGACAATTCCAGAATGACTTGTCTATTTCGTCTTGGCAACTCACACTCCTTCCCACTGTTTTCCATTCCCCACCTCATAACCTTTTTCTCTACACTCCTTCACGTTGAATCTCTTATCACATAACTCCACAATGGCCACCCCAGCTCAAGCTAATAACACCCACAACAACGGTCCCATCGACCACAACGACCTCAACGAATGGAAGGATCGTTTCAATGACGTTCTCGCTCGCCCTAGCGAGCACGTCAACTCGAAGTCTCCCGAGACTTCTCGACCTTGGCAGAACGGCTTTTTCGGCTGCTTCAACCCTATCGACCTTTGCGCCATCACTTGCTGTGTTCCTTGCGTGACCTTTGGTAAAACCCATCACCGTCTTCGTAAGAACGGCAGCCTCACGGGCTATGAGCCTATCAATACTTCTGTACGTCAATACAGCAAGGTACTTCGACGTTTGTGCTAAGCTGACTTGCTTCATAGTGTCTCATGTTCTGGGGTTCCACTTGCTTTGGCCTCCATTGGATCCCTCTCGCCCTTCAGCGCGCCAACCTTCGTGAGAAGTACAATCTCCAGGGCAGCTGTCTCGTCGATCTTGCTACTGCTTGTTGCTGTGGGTGCTGCGATCTGATTCAACAAGAAAAGGAGGCAGAGTTTCGCGAGGCTCAGACTGCTATCGCAAGCAAGGGCTACGAGGCCACAGCGGGAATGAGCATCCCCCAACCTGAGCAGAAAGTCTAAGAAAGATTTCATGCATTGATTACTAGGTAGATGTTTTAAGTCCGTTACGGGTTGATTGTGTATATGTCCTATTGTCACTTGGACCCTAGGGTGATTGACTGAGAGAGTGGTGATGTTCCATTTGCATGAGATAACCACATTAATGTATTCTTTCCAGTGGGCGGGTGCATGTTTTATCTTTCCCGCCTTTGCGCAGTCTTATTGGCGCTCTGTGAATCTAATCAGAGGTGGTACGTAGAGCAAAAGTACTTTCTGCAGTTAGGTACTTGATTAATTATCCCTAGCCCAAGTTGTTGTTCATCTCACGTCAGCAATGCCAGTCTGGGTACACTACTCATCCCCTTCAAAGAAAACATAGCACGTGACGTCAGCAATGAGATTTCCTCAAAATTATCACGGTGCTTTTCTTGATATTCACTTTACGCATCTTATCAGAGTAATGTACGATTTAAATCCGAGTGAAAGATGGAAGTGCTTGCTCTCGGTCTCTCTTGGGCTTTGAACCAAACGAATTTATCGCAAAGCATCCTTGGGCGTTTGGGCTTGACATCTTTGGTGACCCAGAACACCAACTCGTGGACGCAATTATCTACACAGTTGTCGCCAAATGCCTCGATTCTTTTTCCGAATGAACCCCTTTTCAACAACTATATAAGTAGGTGGCGAGACTGGCACGCACCGGACGTTGGAGTTGTTGTCAATGTCTACACCGAGAACGACATTCAAGTGACAGTATGTTTTGCGAAAGGCAGCCTTTTGCACCCCTAATTGTTCTCTCTACAGATTCGTCATGCAAATGAGCAGGGCACTCCTTTTCTTGCCAGATCGGGTGGTCATGGTGCAACAGAGTCTCTGAGTCTAGCTAAGAATGTTGTGTCCATCGACCTTCGCAGCATGGACCAAGTTGTCATCCCTGAGGATGGCGAGACTGCTACGATTGGAGGCGGAGCTAGTGTGAAGGAGGTTGTCAGTACTCTGTGGGCAACAGGCAAGCAAACAGGTATGCCATCGCAAGAGTCCTTTCGAAACTCCAGGTTTTACTGACAACGAAAAGTGACAGGAATCTGCGAGTGCGTTGGCATTTCTGCCCCAGTTCTAGGAGGCGGTCACGGGTGGCTTCAGGGCCAGTATGGCCTGGCTTCGGACCAAGTCATCTCGGCCAAAGTTGTTCTTCCCGATGGAAAGCTCGTCAGCACGTCCAATAATGAGAATCCCGATCTCTTTTGGGCTCTGAGGGGAGCCGGCCACAACTTTGGCATCGTCACTGAATGGCAGTACCGAGTCCACGATATCAAAAACATCAAGTGGTCTTATCAGATATTTATCTATCTCGGGGACAAACTTGAGGAGATTCTCGATCTGACCAACGATATGATGAAGACTCAGCCACCAGAAGTTACGCATTGGATGTATTTTGTAAACATCCCTGACATCGACCCCAATCGAGTAAGTGTAAACTCCCGTAAGATGCTCATTCCCGAACAGGATTGCGACCGCTAAATGAAGACAGCCCATAATCTGGTACGCCATCATATCGGACGACACCTTCGAAAAGTCTACAGAGTATGCGAAGCCTCTCTATGACATTGATCATATAAATGTCGAAGCTGGTGTGGCGCCTATGCCAGACTTGGCTGGCTTGACCTTCATGAGCAGTGATAGTGTCGGATGCGCCAAAGGCTACACGGGTCTGCGATACCCTATCGGTCTGAAGACCTATGATTTACCTGCCGTCCGGAAAGTGTTTGATGACATCGCCGACATGTCGAACCGCAACCCGGAATTTGCCGGGTCCTTCTTCCTCCTTGAAGGATATTCGACTCACGGCGTGAAAGCCGTCGATGAGAAGAGCTCAGCCTTCCCGCATCGAGATGACGATATTCTGATTACGTCGTACATCATGTACAAGCCGAACGCGTCTCTTGATGCACTTGCTCAAGAATATGGAGAGAAGCTAAGAGGGCATCTATTAGCGGCAAGTCATGAGCCTGACCGCTTGACAGCATATGTGAATTATGCTCATGGAATTGAGTCGCTCGAGGCTATCTATGGATGGGACGAATGGAGGCTGGAGAAGTTGAGAGGGCTGAAAGCGAAATGGGATCCTCAGAACCGAATGAGGTTCTACAATCCTATTGTCTAAGGCTACAGGTTTAGTGTCTTCCTGGTTATCGTAGAGTAGGGGTTAAAGACGTGAAGCAAAGTCTGGTGTGTAAGGTAGGTATAACATCCACCGCGAAGGCCAGATCAGCCTCCCTAAATCCAATCTTCTTTGGTGGTTGCAATAAGCAGTTTCCTCACAAGTTTCCCTTCAGTTAATTCTTAAAATACTCATGAAGTCTTTCGTTGCCTTCCTTTACTCTATACTACGTAGCTTTCCCTGCAATACGAAGCCGCTGGAACATGTTACACCTAACTCGTTCAAATTCTCCCCTCCGCTACAAGTGCTCAACTCAGGTGGTTTGCCTTGTTAGACCTCAAAAGTTTAGGATCGATCTCGAACTGGGAGAAATTGTCGACCAAGTCATCCCACATCTTGGGGTCGTGCTCATGCTTCTCTTTGCTGTTCCAGGCATAGTCGGTGATGGTGAGAGCTCGGCTCGTCTCGAACATGAAGGCAATGGAGCCGAGCGAAATCTGCATTTGAGGGGGATCCGCCTTAGATGCAGCAGCGAACTGCTCGTATGCGACGCCATGAGGTACAAATCCACACTCAAACGAGATACTTCCGGGCTGGAACTCATCGGATCGACCTCCGTATTCGCCATAGATCAGACCCATCAGCTCAGAAGCGCAGTTTCTGTGGTAGTAGGGCGGGCGATAGGTGTGAGATGCAACGTCCCATCTAGGAGAGAAGATCAAGAAGTCGGCCAGGGGCGCAGCTGGATCTCGGGACTTGGCCGTCAAGACACAGAAGATTGACGGATCAATGTGGTCCACGGAGATGGAGCCCACGTTGACAAACTTGGTGAGATCATACTTGAACGGCACGTAGTTTCCATGCCACGCAACCACATCGAAGGGGCAGTGCCGTTGTGTGCTGTTGAAGAACTTTCCGCCGATCTTGTACACGATATTCCAGGGGTCTTCTTTCGTGACCTCGTATGCGGCAACCGGGTGCAAGAAGTCGCGCGCGTTGGCCAACCCGTTCGCTCCCAAAGGACCCAACTCGGGAAGCTCCCAGTTTGAGCCCCAGATCTCCAGGATGTATCCACGAGTCGGTCCTTCAACGTTCACCTTGAAGCGAAGACCACGCTGGATGACGCAAATCTCACCAGGCTGCACGTACAAGAAACCGAACTCAGTTTGGATGTCCAGAGCACCTTGCTGAGGCACAATGAGCCAGTCGCCGTCGGAGTTCGCAAAAGCTCTTTTCGTCATGCTCTTATTGCAGAGGTAGACATGAGTGGCGAGGCCCTCGCGAAGAGTTGGATCTCCAGAGCCGGCGACAGTCTTGAGACCATCGACAAAGTCCAGATCTTGGCCGTCAGGGATCGGGAACGGCTTCCAAGCCAATTGAGTGGGTGAGACGTGAACTCGGGGGTTGATCGGGATAAAAGTCGACTCAGTGTCTTTGTTATCGGGTAGATCGGTCTGCAAGAGAGAAATCAGCGACAAATTCCAAGATTGATGAGAGAAAAAGGACTTACAAATCCCTGGTGAGCAACAGCTGGTCGCGACCGGTAGAGCCAAGCTTTCTTGTTGGAATGCCTGGGCGCAACAAAGGCCGAAGCCGTCACCTGTTCGGCGTACAGTCCATATCTGATGCTTCTCGGGCTATTCTGGCCCCTTGGAATCGTGCCGGCGATAGCCTCTGACTCGAAGCTGTTGTTGAAACCGGGCTGATAAGCGTACGGATCGTTCGGGCGCGTCGCAAAGGAGGGGACTGCTCCGTCTTGCTGCGTCGCCGCCCAGTGGAAGGCGTTTTGGAAGTCCTTCGGCTTAAGATCTTTTGGCGCTGCCATTGTGAAGTGAACTTAGCTCTGAAAATGCGAGGAGGGGTTGATGGATGAGGGGCTGACGATAACGACGGCTCAATGGAGCTATCTATCGCTTTTGTACGAAATGTTCCCCTGTCCATTGAGGAAAGCTTCACCCCACATGGAGCTATCTGAGCTTGGGCAGCTACTCCACACGGCCTTTGCGGCAGTTTGTACGTTGGAGCGTGTGGAGGCTCGGAGAGCTTCGTTGTCGTGCTGAGACGACCTGTGTGGGATTCCACTCCAGACATGTCTCTTAGTGTGCGGGGATGTGGTGTCTCTGTCATGACTGACAAAGTCGCCGAAGTGGGCTCGTGCTCCAATGCGGGCACAATGATTAGGTGTGCATAGTGTGTTCCGGATGGAGAAACACCACTTGTTATGAAAGGTGGCTATTAGAATGTTGTCTGCACAATTTCATATTGAGTTCGATCAGGCAGGGCACACTTTAATTGCTATCACAACGTGATTATACGCAATGTCATTACTCAAGTTATTAAGTTTTCTTTCTATTACCATAGTTTTGGCTCACTTTTACATCAAGAGCAGAACAACTGCCACTCCAAAGGGGTATAAGACCATTCCAGGACCAAAGGGGTGGCCCTTACTAGGCAATGCGCCACAGCTAGGTTCAGCACCACATCGACAAGTCCAGCGATGGGCTCAAGATTATGGCGAGATTGTCAAAGTCCGCCTCGGCTGGGAAAACTGGGTTTTCGTCAATAGCCCAGATGCCGTCCGCGAGATATTTGACAAACAATCGGCAAAGACCTCTGGAAGGTCACCAATGCCGGTACTCTCTGACCTTCTGTCCGGGAGCAACAGGCTCTTACTTTTGACTTACGGGTCCAAATGGCGACAATTGCGAACGATTGTGCACAAGCTCCTTACGCCAAAAGCTTCGGACACGTACAAGCCATCACAAGAGTTTGAGGCCAAACAACTCCTCTACGACATCGCGACCGATAACACAGATCAAGAAAGTTTCTACATGCATGTCCGCCGGTATACCACATCTGTTGTACTCACCAGTACATACGGACTTCGTGTTCCTAAGTGGGTACGTAGTTATTTTTGTGTCAACTCTTCGAAGAGGAGGAAAGCTAACTCCTAGTTTAAAAACACAGGACTGCGAAGATGTGCGTCAGATTTACGACCTTTTGAAAGACTTCACCGAAGTTGCAGAGCCTGGCGCTTACATCGCTGACATGTTTCCTCCTCTTGCCAATCTTCCATCGTTTCTCCAGTGGTGGCGTCCGGCTGCTATTCAGGCTTACGAAAAGCAGAGAAAAATCTGGATGCATTACTGGAATGGCTTGAAGACTTCGGTGGCCGAGAAGAAAGCACCTGAGTGCTTCGTGAAGCAGTTCATGGAGTCAGACTTTGAGAAACTTGGCATTACCGATGTTCAGGCCGGTTTTGTTGCAGGCTGTAAGTATCGTATTAAGCTCTACTATTACTTGCATGCGGAGCACTAACTCCAGTAAAGCCATGATTGAGGCCGGATCTGAGACAACTTCGTCAGCGTTGAATAGCTGCATTCTTTACCTGGCGGCGAACCCCAGAGTACAGGACATTGCCAATGAAGAGCTAACGAGGGTGATTGGCGACGAGAGATCGCCAACTTTTGCAGACGAAGCCAGCCTGCCCTACATCAGAGCAACTGGGAAAGAGGTCCTTCGCATCAGGCCAGTAACCACGATAGGAAGTCCACATTACACGACCTCGGACGTCGTCTATAAGGATTATTACATCCCCAAGGACACCGTCGTCGCGATTCCTCAATACGTGCTACATTTCAGCTCCGACAAATGGACCGACCCTGAAGATTTCAACCCATCACGTTACTTGGCGTATCCTGAAAAGGCTGGCTTTTACGCCGCTCAGGGAGACGCTAAAGCTCGTGACCATTTTGACTTTGGTGGAGGGAGACGCATCTGCCCTGGCATGCATCTAGCCGAGAACAGCCTGTTCATCACACTGGCTAAGATCTTGTGGGCCTTCAAGATTGAGCCGGCATTAGACCCGAATGGCAAGGAACTACCGATAGATCTATCCGATGAGGCCTATGAACCGGGTATTAATACTCTTCCCAAGCCCTTCAAGGTCCGATTCACCTCACGCAACAACAGACGAGCTGAAGTTCTCAAGTCTGAATGGTTCCAAGCAGAAAGAGAAGGATTCTACTTGGGAAGCGTCAAAGTTGACACGCAGGGAATGGTTGTAGCATAGTTAGGTATTCGAAGAGCGCGACGGGGAGTAACGGAGGGCGATCCGCTCGTGTTCCGTCTTTCGAGTCATTGGTTGCGTTTCGTCCGAGCTGTAACATACAAGAACCACACGTCTGCATGGGTCAAACGGAGCATTAAGACCAATAGCAACTAGCATATTTGTACAAGGCCACCTCAGATCCAATGTTCTCAATGCCGGTGGACACAAATGCGATGAACCCCACACTTTTCCCCGCAACCGCCGAGGTAGCGAAGAGTTGATAATAACTTACTGATCAGCTAACTGCGCACGCTGCGGCGGCCCGCGGGCGTTCCCCATGTCCGTCTTGGCGCTATTTTGTCGATCCTTGATGACGATGCGGTCTGGTTGGTTCCTGAGGACGATACTCCAACAAACTGAGTCGTGTTTCCCCATGTTCTCCCCAACAACGCCATAGAAGTTACTGCTCGTCTTACTTTATTCTTGAGATACCCGTCATACACCTTATCGACAAACATCTTACTTTAGTTATCTCACCCGTCACCAAACTCAGAATATTTGTACCTCATGTCCTCCACCACATCCTTACCCGTCCATGGGCCCGGACAAGTAGTCGCGTCGACAGAGACGGCAAAGGCAGGGGAAAAGCGTGCTCGCAGGACCGCTCGCCCTTATAAGTGTGCCCACTGCCCTAAGGTCTTCAAACGCAGTGAGCATTGTATCCGCCACGAGCGAAGTCATACAAACGAGAAGCCTTATGCCTGCCAGTACTGTTTAAAGACATATTCAAGAAAGTGAGGCTCCCTCCTGATAGCCTGGCACTGTCTGAGCGATGGTCAGAGATTAATCGGAAGGCAGAGACCTCGTCACGCGGCATGAAAAGACACTGCATGCGGAACACAACAGCAAAGTCGTCGACGATCCGTCTAATGATGATGATGGCGATGCGTCGTCGGAGGCAAGTTCGAGTGAAAGGGAGCATGACCCTAAACGGCAGCGTGCCTATCGCACCCCTCTGAGCCAGCCCTCGCTGGGAGATGGCCCTAGGAGAGACTCTTGCTCTTCGACCCTAGTTTCCAATAGCATTGTGGTCTCAACGCAACCTAAGAAAATCCCGAGAGAGATTCACCAATTTCGGCAGCGCGGACAAGCGGCTCCCACTCCTCCACAAACGCACAATATCTCCATCTCAGATTCTGCAGACGCCTTGGGCATGTTTTTCGATACTCGTCCCGAATCGATTTTTGGCAATAGTCGACCTCAAGATCTACCCATGACACAAGGGGCAGTCTTTGATCACCTGCGGACCCAACTCACTGAAGGAACCGCAAATAGGGGTCATGTGCCAAACGGGCACCCTTCGCTGCCAGAAAATGGCTCAGCTCTCGGCTCCTTGGACTCTTTTCTTGCAGATCCAATTTCACAGTCGGTATTGCCTATATCTGAGGAGCCGTTTGACTTCGCACATGACTTTGGTTTCCTCGACGCTCCAGATTGGATGGAATTATCGAACACAGGCACTGGCCTTGAGGCTTCGAATGACTCGACTGCCAGCCCTCCAGAGAAGTCATGCTCCTTTGAGAGGAGTCTTCATCACGCAGATAAAGAGACTTGGCCAGAAACCTTGAAGTCTACATCCCAAGCCGTTACCGGGCGCAATCTTCCACGTCTGCTTGAGAATAAGCGATGTACGAAGCCAAGTCTTACCATGGACAAGCCCATGCATGACTCAATTTGCAGAGACGTGAATAAGAGACTTACTGGACCTGATATATCCAAGGACATCCCTCCGTTGAAGGCTTGTCAGAGCTTTCTCTCCAGTTACGTGGAGTGCTTTCATTGCCACTTGCCCCTGGTTCACCTGCAGACTATTTCGCATGGTGACATTCCTAGCCCCCTGATACTGGCTATGTGCAGTATTGGGGCTCTCTATCGCTTAGATCGCCGTCGAGCCCGGCGTCTTTGGGATCTTGCGCTGAGGCTGATTGAGCCAGTGAGTTACTCCTTCTCTGATCTTATATTCAAGGCGAACTTCAGAGCTAATGATTGTGTGCCCTGTAGATCCTCACGAGGGATTGTCCACTCTGGGTTATGCAAACGAAATTTCTCTTAACGTTCTTCGCGACATTCAGTGGCGACAAAGACTTGGCGGCCCAGTCTATAGGGGAGTGTAGCCATTACACTTTAGTAGGTTCCAGCCCATATTTCAGTGTTGCTATAATATGTAATAGAGAGACCAGAGTCAATACTTACATATTGATAGTTGTATGCAAAGATGCGGCGTCAGCTGCAACAAGACAACGCGGACCTCCTAAGTTCAACATGGGCAGACTGGGTGCAACGCGAATCATGGAAGAGACTCCTTGGTGCCATTTATGTGACAAACACGGTCAACACCATCATCTACGGCCTCAGTCCTGCCTTCAATGCCAGTCAAGATCTAGAAATTGAGCACTTCCATGACGAGAACCTCTGGAATGCGTTATCAGCCAATGAGTGGCGAGAACTGCGAGCCGCTTACAGAAAGAAGAACTCAAGAACCACCAAGGATATTTTGAAAGATGTTTTGGCCGAGAACACCGATGATTCCAGTTTCGAATCATACAATATCTCACCATTCTCTGCGCTCATCCTGGTACATGCTATCCTCATACACACCTGGCAACTTTCCCAACTTTCGGAAACCTCAGCGAATTTCTCCTTTCGTTCAATAACTGGGACTTCCTCTCTAGGGAGCTCTCTTCTCTCAAATGCCTTAATCTCTCTAGACAGGT